TCTCAGGTGAATGTGGAGATTTAGATTGTCACCTGCAGAAGATTCAGACTGGCCTGGTTGCCATGGACCGCCTAAGGAAATAGAAAGAGCAATGTACAGGGCCGGGCATGGTGGCTCATGCCTGTAATCCCAGGACTTTGGGAGGCCAAGGTGGGCGGATCACCTGAGGTCAGGAGTTCGAGAGCAGCCTGGCCAACATAGTGAAACCCCATCTCTTCTAAAAATACACAAATTAGCTGGGCATGGCAGCACTCGCCTGTAATCCCAGATACTTGGGAGGCTGAGGCAGGACAATGGCTTGAACCCGGGAAGCAGAGATTGCAGTAAATTGAGATTGCACCACTGTACTCCAGCCTGGGTGGCACAGTGAGACTCTGTCTCAAAAAAAGAAATAGCAATGTACTTGGAGTTAGAAGATGTGTGTTTACCAGCCCTGTGTAACTACAGAGGCCAGTCCCTTAAACTCTCTGAGCCTCAGATGCTAACATATGTCCTGCCTAACACAGAGTTATTTTGAAATCTCTGTGTAAATAATAAAGATTTACAGAAACAAGACACTTTCATTAGTGACTTGTTACATCTAAATGTGGCTGGGCTCAGGGAGTTGAGAATAAGGCTGGCAAAGAAGGAGGAGAAACAAATGGGGGAACGGATGAGAACAGGAAGAAGGGAGGAAGAATAAGGTTTAGCACCCTAGAACCTGTCTGACTTTGTAGACTGAAATCCGCAGGTTTCTCAGCCCCAACGTCCCTCTTTACTCTGACATGTGTGACCAGCAGGGTCACACATGCTTGAGGGGTTTCTCCCTCAAGCAGGGCGAGGCCCCAAGACCAGCTCAGGACACAGAGTAGGCCAGGGAAAGGGAAGCTCTGTATTTGGTGAGAGTGATTCAGACACCCCCACTTGGCTTCATAAGCCAGATCCAGGGGGAGGAGAAAATTGCACAGGCCACAGCTGGCTTCCAGTGTAAGACTGACTTCATTTCCTCCCACAATTAAAGTTCTGCTTCAGAGAGCTTCAGAGCATCCAGGATCTCCAAGACATGCCCCTCCTGGACCTCCTGTGAAGGAGTCCCTGCAGAGCTAAGGCTGCCTTTTTCTTTACCCTGGTGGAGCCCCCACGGCATTCTAAAATCACATGAAGATTTTAGCAAGACCCTAAAGTCGCAGTCCCGCCTCGTCTCTGCTGCCTCTCTCCTCTCCTGCTAAAGAAACACGCCCAACTGCAGCGCATAAGTTATTTTTAACCATGGCAGTCTCCCCATTTTCAGCCTTACTGGCCCAGCCCCCTCCTCAAAAGAGGCATTCAGCAGTGTCAGGATGCAAAGGAGATCAGCATCCATGCCAGAAACACAGCACCGCACAGCACCCGCCATCCCTGTGCTCAGTTGACCCAGCAGGATCCTTAGGAGCCTTGCCTGCATAAAATTAAGCCTCCTTGAGTCCACTCCACTTCTATTCTAGACTCCAAATCTGAAGCAGCAGGCAAATCATCCCGTGGGCCTCCTCAGAGAAGACTGGAAGGGGAAATCATCAGAAAGTGATCTGAGTATGCATGAGTGATGAGGGATGGAGGCAGAGGGCATAAAGAAGGAAGAATGAGACAGCCCACTCTGTCTTCAGGAGAAAGAGGTTTGCGCGTCTTCAGGGCCCTGGGTCATGGCCCTTCAAGGCTGGAGACAAGTAGAGCCATTCCTGCACCCTAGGGACAGCTCTGGAATTCTGTGCCTGGCTGATACTGCAGGCCCCGTGGTTTTGAGAAGGCCTTCCTCCAAGGACTCCCCACTGCCCATCAGAAAGAGCTCAAACTCTCCTTCCTGCCTTCCAGGCCTTACTGCTGTCTCCTCACTTGGAGCTCACTCCCTCTAAAGTCCTTTCCTGATTACCTGAGCCTACATAAGCCTTTCTCTGTCTGACTTTCCATTACAGCTCAGTGCCCCTGTTTCTGGATCACAATCTGTCACATCACATAATATCGTCAAAACACTTATTCAGCATTCATTCAGTCATTCATTACTGGCTGATCTCTAGCATGCACAAGGCCCTGTGCAGCCCTCTGGGGCTCAAAACATAAGACACGTCCCAAATTGCTCACAGTTCTAAGGGAGTAATGGGCACCCTGTGGGTTAACTGCTACACTGTACAAGGGAACATGGAGGAGAGAAAAGTATGACTGTGAGAGCGGAGGAGGAAGCTTTGGATACCACTGGGGGCATTAAGGACAGAGGAGGCGGCACTTAAAAGAGGAGGAGGGTTTACCAGCATCTTGCAGAGAAGAAAATTAAAGCATGTTAGTTTCATTCTGCAAGATGCATCCCTCTGGGGGGCAAGTTACAGTGTACCGTGGCAGGGTGATTGGGGGTAGAGATGGCAGCAGGTGAAGCTCGAGAGGTAAGTAATTTTGTTGGATCTTTATGCTGAAGCCTCTATTCCACAGGCAATGAGGAGCCAAAGGTGGTTTTTAAGCAGTTGAGTAATAGAATTAGGTTTGTATTTTATTTATTTTTTATTGTATTTTTAATAAAATACAACTTTTTTTTACTTTTACTTTTATTTTTATTTATTTATTTATTTATTTATTTTTGAGACACAGTTTCACTCTTGTTACCCAGGCTGGAGTGCAATGGCACAATCTCGGCTCACCGCAACCTCCGCCTCCTGGGTTCAGGCAATTCTCCTGTCTCAGCCTCCTGAGTAGCTGGGATTACAGGCACGCACCACCATGCCCAGCTAATTTTTTGGTATTTTTAGTAGAGACGGGGTTTCACCATGTTGACCAGGATGGTCTCGATCTCTTGACCTCGTGATCCACCCGCCTCGGCCTCCCAAAGTGCTGGGATTACAGGCTTGAGCCACCGCGCCCGGCCTATTTTTATTTTTTTGAGATGGAATCTCACTCTGTCACCCAGGCTGGAGTGCAGTAGCACCATCTCAGCTCACTGCAACTTCTACCTCCCGGGTTCAAGCAATTCTCTTGTCTCAGCTTCCCGAGTAGCTGGGATTATCAGCACCGCCACCATGCCCAGCTAATTTTTATGTTTTTAGTAGAGACAGGGTTTTACCATATTGGTCAGGCTGGTCTTGAACTCCTGACCTCAGGTGATCTGCCCACCTCGGCCTCCCAAAGTGCTGGGATTACAGGTGTAAGCCACCATGCCCTGCCAACACTTTATTTCATAAAATAGAATATATGTTCTTTTTTTTCTTCGTTTGTTTTTTAAGATGGAGTTTCCCTCTGTAGCCCAGGCTGGAGTGCAGTGGCAAGATCTCAGCTCACTGCAACCTCCACCTCCCAGGTCCCGATTCAAGCAATTCTCCTACCTCAGCCTCCCAAGTAGCTGGGATTACAGGCACGAGCCACCATGGCCAGCTAATTTTTGTAGTTTTTTTTTTAGTAGAGACAGAGTTTCACCACGTTGGCTAGTCTGGTCTTGAACTCCTGACCTCATGATCCACCCGCCTAGGCCTCCTAACATTCTGGGATTACAGGCGTGAGCCACTGAGCCCGCTGAATATGTGCTCTTGAGGTTTGTATTTTTTTTTTAAGAGATGGGGTCTCACTATGTTGCCCAGGCTGAAGTGCAGTGGCTATTCACAGGCGTGATTCCACTACTGATTAGCATGGGAGTTTTAGTTTTGACCTGCTCCGTTTCCAACCTGGGCCGGTTTACCCCTCCTTAGGCAACCTGGTGGTCCCCCGCTCCTGGGAGGTCACCATATTGATGCCGAACTTAGTGCGAAACCCTATCAGCACAGCACACTACAGCCCAGAACTCCTGGGCTCAAGCGATCCTCCCACCTCAGCCTCCCGAGTAACTGGGACTACAGGCACGCAACACCACGCCCGCAAGGTTTGTATTTTAGAATAAAATACTTTGTTAGTCATGTGGAGGATGGGGGCAAGATTAAGAGAGGAAGAGCTATTATACAGCGGAAGGAGCAGGTATATTATTTGAGAGACACAAAGAAAGTAGCAGTACAGGCCTTGGTGATGGCTTGAAAGCTAGTTATGTCATTGATTTAGCTGCAGGCACTGCTCTGTTTTCCTATCTGTACTCTAGCACCAACACCCTGCTGAGATGCTGAGCACACTTTAGGGAGGCAGCTGCGGATGCCTTCAGTTGAAACATCTCCTTTATTGAACAAAAAACTGTGGTTAAGGGCTTTCCACACTTTATCTTTAACCTTCAAGGCATCCCTGCACAGCGGACATTCTTAAGACAAGAAAAGTGACCCTGAGATAGAACAGGGGACTTGCCCAGAGTCACACAGTTGGTCAGTGGCAGGACCACAATCCAGAACCCTACCCTCTCTGATTCCAAAGCTTACACTCATAACTACTACATTTCGCCGCTGCTTGTCAAAACAGCTGGGCACATCCCACCACAGGAGGCAACCCCAGCCTTCAGACCATGTTAAAGGTCAGCATATAGAACACTTTTGGAAGGTGATACAAGTAAACCTGTGCTCTCCAGGGATTTCATTATAAGGAAATAATTCAGCAGAAGTCAAATCATTCTTAACCATGTTCTTTCTCAGCAGCATTGTCTAATATAGCCAAAAAGTGAAAAAAAGAGTAGGATTTAGAAAATCATAAAAAATATTAGACAGCCTTTAGAAATAGTAACTATAAAGACAAAAGTGCAATACGGAAAATCTTTTTAATATAAGAGTAACTGAAAAGAGTCAGATGCAGAATGGCACCTAAGCCATGAAGGCAACTACAGAGAAAATATGACTGAATGGGGACAAAGACAAGGAAGAAGGTACAGAAATGAAAACAGGTCTCATGTTAGCGCAGAGGTGGCAAATTTTCCTCTTTTGAGGTTTTCATTAATGTTATTTCAACATCTTTCCAAGAGTAATAATAACAAATCTGATTCTGGCTGCTTTGTCAGAGAGCCCTGGTGAGGGCCCCTCGGACCCCCACATAGCCGCTGCACCCTGTCCCATTCCTCCCCCACACCCACAGCGTCCAACCTGCTGGGGTAACTCTCTTACCAGCAACTCTGACCACAGCACGCTCTGCAGGGTCCAGCACCGAATCCTGGCTTTTCCGCTTTTTCTGCTCATGCAGTGGCAGGTTCCAGGGCAAGGTGTCCCCTGGGGGACAAGGAGACAGGCTCCCTGACCGCTCGCTCCTGTAAGATCGCTCACTCCGACACGACCGCTCACTCCGACATGACCGCTCACTGAGCGTCTCTTCATCTGAGGAAGACATGGCCCAGGTGGGAGCTGCTGCAGGAGGGCCTGGGAGCCCAGGGAGAAGTGATCTGAAGGAGAAAGGGGTGAATGTGAGCAGACCAAAGAGGTCCCATAAGGGGCCCTGGGACTTGGGAAGCAGAGGTTCTAGTCCTGTCTATCTGAACCTCAGTTTCTTCACCTGGAAAGTGGGATGAAGATGATACATGCCAAAACTAATTCACGAGGTTTGGGGGATATTGTCTGTGATGATGTCTATAAATCTTAAAACATCAGGTAGGCTGGGCGCGGTGGCTCACGCCTGTAATCCAAGCACTTTGGAGGCCAAGGCGGGCAGATCACCTGAGGTCGGGAGTTCAAGACCAGCCTGATCAACATGGTGAAACCCCGTCTTAAAAAAAAAAAAAAAAATATGTAAAAGTTAGCTCTTATTCCTAGGAACTATTATTATTGTTATTTGGCACATTTGGAAGATTAAGCTCACAGATCCCATGACAACGCTGTGGGTTTAAATTCTACTCCATTTACTAGCTGTGTGACCCTGGAGAAGCTACTTGGTATCTCCAAGCGTCAGCACCCTCATCTACAAAATGGGGATAATAATAATAGAGCCTAGCCCTATGGGGTTGGATTGTGCATGTAAAGTGCTTAATCCTGCATGTAAAGTGCTTAATAGTGCCTAGTGCCCAGTGAGCACTCAATACAGAGTATCTATTATTACATTCTTGTTCTACTTACCTCCCAGGAATTCTATAAGGATAAACTGGGGCAACAGATGGGAAGTATTTTCAAAAAGCTAAAGCATGATCTCAGTAGCAGGCATGAAGCAAACCATGAGCTAGAATAGGCAGAAATTCCCCGGTTTCTCCCACTCTATCTCCAGCAGATATATTAGAAAATGTACTAGACTTGAAGTAAGACAGACCTGGGTACAAATTCTGGTTTGGCCACTTACAAATTGCTGTGCTCTTGGGCAAGTCACTTCACCTTTCTGAGACTCAGTTCCTTCATCTGCAAAATGGGGGTAATATTCCACCTCAGAGGATGTTTTAAGAACACTGTTAAATGCAAATGTAGTACTGGTTGATGCCATGCATGGCACCCAGCAGGTATTAGAGTAAATGTTCACTTGCTATTCCAGGGCTGTTGTGGGAATAAGTGGCACAGCATGAGGATGGGGTGGAGGGATGGGACAGAAAGTCCATTTTTTCTGGTTAGTTTAGCTAGTGGAGACAGTTGAGTGAAAATACAATTGCTCCAGGGCCAGCTGGGCTCCACCAGCCAGACTGGGCAGCCTTCCCTGAGCCAAGCCAAGCTCACTTCCCAGAACCATCTGCTACACATGGCCCACCACCCCAAGGGCTCCATCAGAGCACGGATGGTATGTGCTTTCAGCTACCAGCCTTCCGGCAAGTCCCAAAGCCAACCTGGGTAACCAGCTCTGACTTTGGCTCTAGCGTCCAGGGAGGGCAGGAGCTGTTGATTTTCCCTTATGGGGAATACCTGCACACAAGGCTGTGTAGAGGCAGGGAGGTAGCCTACATGGCTGGACACATTGAGTCTGTGGCCACAGCTCCTCCAGGATTCTCGAATCAGCCTAGAGGCAGCAAGAGGCAGAGACAGCCTCCTAGGTCATTGGCAGATCCCTTCCATAGGCACAGAATTCAAAGAGATAACAAAAGAAACATAAAAACGGTGCAGGAGGCCTGTAGGCAGCCTTAGGCAGCAGAGTCTCCCTGCCAGGGCACCCCTTGTGCCAGCAGCATGTGGGCCCTCTTCCCAGGGAACATCTAGAAGGGATCTAGCCACAGGAAACAGAAAGGAAAGGACCCAGGTCCTGGCACAGCTTTGCCCTTTATCCCAGCACTTATCCCTCCTCCCATTACCTTCTGGTGCCAGGGCAGGTACTGAAGTGACAGCCTCAACCCCTGGGAAACTCAGGCCAAGCTTCCACCCCTACCCTCAGCTCGGGGGCAGGAAAAATGCCCCTCCTCTCAGACCACCTGCTTCATCCCAGAACCTCCCCATTCCTCTCCAAGACGCCCATTTCACTACAAAGGCCGGCTCTCCCAAGGCTTCCTACAGGAGAAAGCGTCCCTTCTGGGCTCTACCCCTTCAATCTCCAGCCCCTCACTAACACCTGTTTGACCTCGGGGCTCCCACCCCACCCTCGGTCACCCGGGTCACTCCATCAATCCCCGAGATTCACAGGAGCGCCTGCCCATGCCCCAGCCCACCCCGAAGGCCGTAGGCCGGTCGGCGACAGGCACCTCACAGGGTGCTCTCACCCGCTGCGACCCACTCCACCTGGCTCCCACCCGCTTCCCCACGGTGGAGGAGGGGCGCGCCCGCGAGCCTGGAGAGGCGCGGGTGGGTCCGCGTGCCCGCCAAGCGTGGCTGACAAAGAGCGGGGACGCGCGACTGAGGACCGACAGGGCGCTGGGGCCAGCGGCCGAGCCCTGGGGCCGGGAAGCGACCTTCCTCGCCCGGCTCTGCCCACCCCCGCAGGTCCGGCGCCCGGCCCCGACAGGGTTCCGTGCCCCATTTTCCCGGGGAACACGCCTCCCTTCCGCCCTGGCAGCGCCCGCACAGGGGAAGCCCCAGCTCCGCGTCCTCGCCGCTCCCCGGCGCCTGCCGCGGGGGCTGCAGGTGCGAGGCCCGTACGGCCGCTGTCGCCGCGCCTGTCAAGCCGCCTGTCCGCGGCCGCCGGTTGCCGGGGGCTGGGGCGCGGCCGCCTCGCGCGATCAATCACCGCGCCCCAGCCGCCGCTGCGCACCCTGCTCAGCAGGCAGGGCGCCTGCATCCAACCCCACGCCCCGCGCCTTACCCTAGGAGCCGAAGGAGGAGGAAGACGTGCCCGCGGCGGCAGCGAAGGCGGCGGCGGCCGGGCGCGCCCAGGCCTGGAGCGCAATCCAGGGGAGCGCGGCGGAGCCGAGGGGAGCGGTTCCCACAATGGCCGAGCTCGCGGCGCCGAGCCCCCCGCCCCCCGCGCCCTAGCGGCAGCGGCTGAAGCGGAGCCGGCGCAGCCGCCCAACCCGCTCCCCCACCCCCAGCGCCGACACCGCCCCCCGCCCCCCGATGCGCGCTCCCCCCGCCCTGCACCCCACCCCGGCGCTTCCGTGCACCCCGCGCGCCCCTGCCGGTCCGCCGCCCGGTGCCCCCTCCGCACTGACCCCGCGTCCTCCTGCCGCCCGGGCCCTCTCGATCCCTCCCCTCTGCAATTCCTCCCTGGCGGCCTCCGGTGTCCCCCCTCAAGGCCAACCACACCCCCAAATTCCCCGCCCTCTGCTCCACGACCTCTCCGCCTCGGCCCGGCGGCTGCTCGCTGACCCCGGGCCAGCTCAGCCGGCCCGCCCTCTTGGAGCTCCTCACCGCCCGGTCCTAGTTGCTGTCTCAGGCTGCAGGATTGTCTGTCTGCCGAGACCTGGGTTCTTAAACAACCCTTTTCCATGGCCACCCCTCTTTCGCCCGTTTCCGTTAAACCCACATTCCATCCCCGCCCTTGGCGCTCCTGCTCCAGCTCCCGGAGAGCGTCCTGCAGATCCTGCAGGTCCTTATAGATCCACCTACCCGCTGGGCTTCTGGAACTGAATGAAGGAGGGACCCAAAGAAGGCCTCATCTTCCCGACAGGGTAAAGAGCAGAAGAAAACCAGGCCCCAACGAGGGAACTCAGTCTCTTCAGATAGCGCTAGCCCCAAATGGAGCCTTGGAAGATTTATCCACAAAGGATATTTTTTGAGCTCCTTCTGCACTCACGACCTAATGATGCACAGAACAAGAGGCAGGAGGGCCTTCTATCCTCTCCTAGGACAGATGAGTGTGTCCAGAGAGAGAGAATGTGTCTAAAGTCATTCCACTTAGTAACCTGCATAACAACAGCTACCATTTGGGCATGTCTCCTGGTGACTGCAAAGGCTTTACCTGGATCATGCCAAATGCAGTCCTCACAGCTCTGTTCATTCAATCATTCATTCATTCATTCAACAAATATGTGCTGAACATCTACCCTGTGTCAGGCCCCATGCAGGGTAATGAAGATACAGCGTGAGCAAGATGCATTTCATCCCCTGCCTGTTGACCATGGGCTCACAGTCCAGCAGGAAAGATGCATGCATCCCATGAGGCAGTATTATGCTCTCTAATGTAGAGATGTAGAACTGAGAGGATTTACTCAAAGTCAGCTAGGGAGACAGTGGATGGTCCCAGGACTGGAGCCCTGTCTTCAGATTTCACATTCTGTTCTTTTTCACCATAAGGGTTGTGGGGGAAAAAAGGGTTGGAGCAATTTATAAAGGCCCTTGAGCTAAGAAATTTGGCCTAAATCTAATAATTATAAGCAGCCAAGAAAGGTGTCAAAGTAACAGAATGAAAGTAACTCAAGGGCAGGCACCAGATGGGTGTGGATGTAACCGTTATGCTGGGAAACTGCTACAGTACTCCCAGCCAGAGGTAACGAGGCTGTGAACCGCAGCAGGGATAATGGAGATGGGAGGGGATGTTTTCCACCCACTGAAACTTGCTAAATTTCTATGTTTGCAGGTGCTCATTCATATTAAGAGAAAGCAACCATCATTTATTAAACTCCTACTAAGTGCTAGGCAATGTCCTGGTCATTTTGCATACATTATCTCATTAAGTCTTCCCCCAAACCCTGTGCAAAAGTTACCTTAATTTTCTTCATTTTACAAATAAGGAAACAGAGTCTTCAAGAGGTTAAATAATTTGCTGAAGCCCACAAAGCAAACTAGTGTTGGAACTGGGGTTCTCATCCAGGTGTCTTCAAATGTCATGCTATACCCACTGTTTTCTACTGTCTGAAGCCAAGGCAAAGAATCTAGGTCCTATGACTCAGGCAAGGGTTCTTTTCCTCAGACCACAGGTACCTCTGGGACTTCCGAAGAAAGATCAGAAGATCACAGTTGTAACTTGCTTGAGTGCAGGTCCCTCTGTGGAATATCTTCTCCACGGAAACCTGCAAAGGCCTCAGCACCAGAGAATTCTGCACCCTAATTCTAAAGTTCCTGTGAGACAATGGAATACTATTCAGCCTTTCAAAAGAAGAAAATCCTGGTTGGGTGTGGTGGCTCACCCCTATAATTCCAACACTTTGGGAGGTCAAGGTGGGAGAATTGCTTGAGGCCAGAAGTTTGAGACTTGCCTGGGCAACATAGGTGAAACCCTGCCTCTACTAAAAATACAAAAATTAGCTGGGAGTGGTGGCAGGCACCTGTAATCCCAACTACTCAGGAAGCTGAGGCAGGGAGAACTGCTTGAACCCAGGAGGTGAAGGTTGCAGTGAGCCAAGATCATGCCACTGTACTCCAGCCTGGGCAAGAGAGCAAGACACTGTATTCCCCCCCCAAAAAGTACTAGCCAGGTGTGGTGGCATGCACCTGTAATCACAGCTGCTTAGGAGGCTGAGGCAGGAGAATCACTTGAACCCGGGAGGCAGAGATTGCAGTGAGCCAAGATCGTGTAGCTGCACTCCAGCTTGCGCGAAAGAGCCAGACTCCGTCTCAAATAAACAAACAAATAAATAAAATTTTAAAATAAAAATAAAAAAGATCCTGTGGGGTAGGCTAAAAGGCACTGAAGTATGAAGCTGAAGAATTGTTTTCAAGTTAGAAATGAGTGTCACGTCACAGTGGCTGATGCCTATAATTCCACTGCTTTGAAGGCTGAGGTGGGAGGATCACTTGAGGCCTCCAGGGAGCTTGAGACCAGCCTGGGCAACACAGTGAGACTATGTCTACAAATAAGAATAATAAAAGGAAGATGAAGAAAAAAGAAGGAGAAAGAGGAAGAGGAGAAGTGAGTGCCACAGTTCTTCCCTGGTGAGAGGGGGAAATAAACACCAAGGGAAACCAAGCTGCAGGCCCAGGAAGAGCATGGGGGGGCCTGGGTATGAAATTGAACCTGCACAGGGCCAGAGCGTGTGGGCAGGGTCTCAGCAGGCAGGGCCCGCTGGGAGGGCTGGAGGGCACACAGAGGGCTCACCGAGGCTGTGCAGTCTTGCCTGGGAAGCCGGCAGGGCCAGCTGCCCTGCTGAGAGAGCACCTAAGAGGCTGTCCTCTTCAACCTCAATGCCCTTCCCAAATCTGACCACAAGTCCTGTCCTAAATAATTCATGCTGTGAGCTGTGAGTGGAGCTTCTGGAAGCTTCTGGATGTAAAACTTAGGACATTTAGCTGTCTTTCCCAGGGCTGTTCCTCCAGCTCCAACAGTGCTACCCTGGGACTGAACTGCTGGGGAGATTTGCCAAGCTTTTCACTGCCGGCAGCTCGCCAGTAACCTTGAGCTACTGGGCTTTGGTTCATTTCAGCAATCTTTTATTGAGGAATGCTATGTCCTGGTCAGAGTTCTGGGTTCTGTCGGGAACACAGAAGTGAATCCAATCAGGTCCGTGTCCTTGAGGATTCACAGGATGGTAGAGGTGGCAGGCACTTAAAAATAATTTCCTTCCACAACATCCTCCAGGTCTGCTGAGTGCTCCCCACCACTCTATCTCATTTCACCAACTGCAAGCCACTGCTCATTCCCTCCAGAAGCAAATGCCTGGTAAGGTCCTCTTTGGGGCCTGAAGGGGCAACTTTTCACAAAAAGAACAACATTTAAGAGATTCTACTCATGAAAAAAGAAAAAAAAAGAACAACATTTAGTTTTGTACTGATGGTTCAAAAATGAATCACACAGGCCTGGTATGGTGGCTCACACTTGTAATCCAGCACTTTGGGAGGCCAAGGCAGGCAGATCATGATGTCAGGAGTTTGAGACCAGCCTCACCAACATAGTGAAACCCCATCTCTACAAAAAATACAAAAATTAGCTGGGCATGGTGGCATGCGCCTATAGTTCCAGCTACTTGGGAAGCTCAAGCAGAAGAATCGCTTGAACCCCGGAGGCGGAGGTTGCAATTAGCCTGAGTGACAGAGCAAGACTTAACCTTGAAAAAGAAAATGAATCAGACAGACATAGCCCCTGTCCTCAAGCTGCTCACAGTCTAGGTGGGGAGAAAGACAAGTAAAAGGGCAACTACCCTTCAGATTGATTTGTGCGGAGATGGGGAAGTACATTCTTTGTACCCTGACAGGGAGCAAAGAAAAAGGACACTGCCGAGAAGCTTGAGGCCAGATCATTTCACCAGGTCTCTCACCCTTGCCTAAATGGAAACTCTTTCAGTTCCCTGTTTCCCTGCAAAAGCTTTATTCTTCTGAGAAAGGAATATAAATCTTGGGGCCCCCAAATCAATAAGCTAAAGGGAAATTCAAGCTAGGAAATGTCTAGAACAAACCTTCTTCCCATTCTATTAAAGACACCCCTCTGCCCACTGACATAGATATGTCTCTGATTCCCTCCTTTGGAAAGGCTGATCAGAAACTCAAAAGAATGCAACTGTTCATCTCTCATCTACCTGTGACCCGGAAGCCCCCTCCCCACTGCCAGTCTTCCTGTCTGTGCTTCAGATTGTCCCGCTTTTCCAGACCAAACCAATATACTTCTTACATATATTGATTGATGTCTCATGTCTCCCTAAAATGTATAAAATTAAGGTGTGTCCCGGCCACCTGGGGCACATGTTGTTTCGGACATGTCCTGAGGCTGTGACATGAGCGCATCCTCAATCTTGGCAAAATTAACTTTCTAAAATAACGGAAGACCAGCATGGTGGCTCACACTTGCAATCCCAGCACTCTGGCAGGCCAAGGTGAGTGGATCACCCGAGGTCAGGAGTTCGAGACCAGCCTGGCTAACATGGCAAAAGTCCTACTAAAAATGCAAAAATAGCCTGGCATGGTGGCGCATGCCTGTAGTCCCAGCTACTTGGGAGGCTGAGGTGAGAGAATTGCTTGAACCTAGGAGGCGGAGGTTGCAGTGAGCTGAGATGCACCATTGCACTCCAGCTCGGGAAACGGAGCAAGACTC